TTTTTCTTCTCTTCTCTTGTGAAAATATGTTGGTTTGTCATGTTTTAAGAGCCCTGTCAAAAGATCAGCACCATTAAAAAATTTTTAGGGGTCGCTCAAGATTTTTAAAAATTACCAAAATCGTCAAAAATTGGATTTTTTTTTATTTTAATTTTTTTTGTCTTTCCGATATTATTTTTTAATTTCAAAATAATAATGATTCTGAAAATTTTAAATCGATATTTTAATTTCTAAAGGTCGCTCAAGATTATTTTAACTTTCAAAGTAGAGTATTTTGAATGTTTTCGAGCGACCTCTGAATATAAATATCAACGAACTTTTAGCGACCTTTAGAAATCAAAATATTGATTTGAAATTTACAGAATTTTTATTATTTTCAACCTAAAAAATAATATCGAGACGAGAAAAAGAATTAAAATAAAACAAAAATTCAATTTTTGACCATTTTGAAAATTTTTAAAAATCTTGAGCGACCCCTACAAAATTTTTAAATGAGCTGATATTTTGAAAGGGCTTTCACAGCATGATAAACTAACATATTTTTACAAGAGACAAGAAAAAAAAATATATTCTTTTTTTTTTGGGACACCCTAATATGTATAGTTAAAATAATAAGAATGGCCTATATTTTAAAATCTGTTAAATTTTTTCATGGGAGGTAAATCGTGTTGAACTTTATAAGAAACAGTGGAGAACATTATTTTAAAAAAAAAATTTCTTTCGCATTTTGTAAAAAAGTTGTTATTGTTATTTTTTGTTTACAAATATTTTTTTAATAAATAATAATAATAATAAATTTCAATAATAATTTTTATTTTCAATATAAAAACTTGTAAAAAATATGTGAAATCAGGGGGCCCAGTAAAGATTTTCGCGGGGGGAGCGGGCAAAATTTGTCGCTACGCCAGTGAGAGAGAATAAAGATTTTAAAACCTGTTGCCTTAACAACAAATAGTATTTTTTACACTTTATTAGTTTAATGGTAAAAATGATCAATTATTTCTAATGTTTTGATTGGTTAAAACATACATATGTATATATATATATACAGATATGTTCGTATGTATATGGATATCCATAACTGAAATTCAAATATTCTATTGGTTTTTAGAAAATGCTTAATAATATTCACACAAATACAATAAGTATAGTCGTCTCGGCAAATGTTTTACATTGCGTCATTAATTTGTGAACCAAGCACAGACATTACAATTTGCTTGTTTCTTTGTATACGTATGTGGTATGTATGCTGGACGTATGTCAAAAAACAGGTTTTTGACATTTTAAATTGATGACACAATGTAAAAAATTCGCCGTGACGACTATACCTACTTTTTTATAGAATTGATGAAACGTGATAATTTAACGTTTAGTTTGTGTTAAGAACACTTTTCTTTAAGATTTACCAGTTAAAATTATGCAATAATATTGGTTGTTTAAAAAATTTAGGTTAGAATAATTTGTGTGGTATTTAAAACAGTGTGGTTTTGTATATACTTAAATAAAAAAATATCTGCCTGCTGTTGTGTTAAGTATTGATTTTTATTTTTTAAATATAAACAAGAAAATCTTCTAATGCTTTTTTACTAATTTTTGTGACCTAGTCATAAAACGTGCAAAAGCATCCCTAGTTTCCGCAAATAATTGATTGGTTCCTAATTAATTTAAAAAAGTTTAATTACTTAGTACCTACTCACCACCAAAAACTTTGTATTTTTGATCCATTTTTATCTAATTTCACTACTTCACTAGCCGTAAATAATACTAAGACTAAGGAGCCAAATAGATACTACTTAATAGTAAATTAAATTAAATCTTAAATATCGAGAAACGTCTAGAATCTAGACTCAAGAAATACATGGTGCCGCAACGTCCTATTGTATATATTCTATCATGGTGCCGCTACGTTGTATAGTTTACTTACGTAGTTAGCGCCCTCTGTAGATTATAAGGTTCAACTAAAATTGTACTTTAATATATAGTCCAAGTGGCACCATCTGGAAATTTTGTAGGTATAATACTATGACACATTAAAGTTTATATATGAAATAAAACGTTTTGGCACCTAGAAATTGTGCCACAACGATTATATAGGTGCCACTTGGCCTATATATATATATCCTCTTTATATATATATATATATATATATATATATATATATTAGGGTGGTCCTTAGCAGGGGTGTTTTTGAATTTCTTTGCTCCCAAGGGCTCAAGCGCTTCCGAATTGATAAAAAAAAATTCCCTGAAAATTTGAGCTCTTAATATTAACTCTAAGATAGTCCGCATTACAACCTTTCTTTTGGAAATAACATGAGAATAATTGTGTTCGTTTTTTATAATTTTATAATTTGGGGACAAATGCATCTATAATAATGAATAATACATATTTTTATAGAGAATTTAACGCTCTACAAAAAAGGTATCCTATGATTTTGGTTGTGTTTAGTTATTCGGGCTCAAAATTTTTTATATAACCCACTGGGAAAGAAACCTTACAAAATATTGCTGCAATGTTCGCCGACTTTACAAATAAAATATTTCCTGTGCTACTTGCATTAACATAAATGAAATGTTACATTTGAAATATTGCATATAATAATTTCCAACAACCTTAAATTTGAAACATTATTTAAAGATTCACATGGAAAGTTTTTACAATGTTATATTTGTAACATTTAGTATAAAATGTTGCATACAAGTTTTTAAACATTACAATTATAATATTGCAGACATAACTTTTTTTCAATGTTTCAATTGAAATATTAACACAAGTTTCAAATGAAAAATGTTTTGCAACTTTACTTTAAATATACAATAGAAACATTTATTTTGGAATGTTTGGGAATATTTTTGAAACATTGCAATTATAATATTACATTGATAAATTTTGGGCAATGTTTCATCCGAAATATTACATTAAGATGATTTTTGCAATGTTACTTTATATAAACAATATAAACATTTAATTTGCAAGATTTTTGGAACATTGCAATTATAATATTACATTGATAAGTTTTTGGCAATGTTTTATCCAAAATAATATATATTATTTTGGATAATATATATTAATATGATTTTTGCAATGTTACTTTATATAAACAATATAAACATTTAATTTGCAAGATTTTTGAAACATTGCAATTATAATATTACATTGATAAGTTTTGGGCAATGTTTCATCCGAAATATTACATTAAGATGATTTTTGCAATGTTGCTTTATATAAACAATATAAACATTTAATTTGCAAGATTTTTGGAACATTGTAACTATAATATTACATTTATAATTATAACTTTAGTTTTGGACTATGTTTCATCCGAAATATTGCATTAAGATAATTTTTGCAATGTTGTTTGCAGACTGACTTGCCGATGCATCTCGCCGCTGTCTTGGTCATTTATATCTTTATAAGTAAACAGTGACGAGCTTGATGCGTGTCTCCCGTCACCGACTGCCTGACACTGATGAGACCAAACAAGTCGAAACAGTCTTTCTGTCAGTGTTGGTGGTTATGGTGCATTAGTCATTGGACCATACCATTCGAGAGAGACGCGCTTCGAGCTCGGCTCGATGGCGAGATGGGAAGGCATTTCAGTCTTTGCAATAATGGTTGCCTACTACTGGCGTAAAGTAGAAAACCTATTGTTTTTGATATATATATTTATATATATAAACCTATTGTTTTTGATATATATATATATTTATATATATAGCTACGGATAAATAATTATAATTAATTATTATTATAATAATTCATATTAATTTAATTGCAATGTTCCTGTAATGTTGCAGGAACCTTTCATTAACAAAAATAACATTTAGTAACATTGCAATTAATACATTTAAGCAACATTTTATTTGTAAATGTAATGTTCCTGAGCCGGACATAAGGCTTTGTTGCAATGTTCCTGCAACATTGCCACAAGGATTTTTGTAACATTACATCTAACAAATGTAACGTTCAGTAACATTGTAGAAATATTATTTTTCCCAGTGGGAATTATCAATATTATCAAGTAAATTTATAAAATAAACATTTGTATCATGAAATATATTAAATTTTTATGAAAGGCTTTATAATTTGAATTTAATTTATGTCATTGTATGAGCTTAAATGCAACGTTAATTTATTTTTTACTTTTTCATAAGATACAGGGTGACCCAGCGCTCCGTAATCGGTCCATAATTTTTTTGCCATTTAAGATATCGATATAAAATTTTTATAGTAAATATGATCGGACTAAGTCTATTTTACAAAATTATTTTAAACAAAATTTCACTTCCGGTTCCACCGGAAGTGACATCAACTTTGTTATTTTAAATAGAACACCCTGTATATTTTCTGATTTTTAAATATATAATTCCAAATAAAATTTGTATAACATTCCCTATACCTAAACTCAATAGTTTTCGAGTTATTAATTTTTTTCCTGAAAATTTGACAGTTACGCCTTCAACAAAAATAGCCTATACTTCTTTGTTATTAGGTCTATTGCTATGCGGTTTGGATTTTTTGAATCTTGAAACATTGTTTTAAATATCCCGTGTCAAACTTTGTCATATTTCTAACCAATTACTTTAAAAAAATTAGTGTGAATTTGGCAAACTACAAACGTTAATAACTTTCTTATTTTTAATGGAACGCAATGTATGTTTTAAAGAATTAAATTTGTTATTAAATTACCTTTTAATTGGTATAACCATTCCCTATACCTAAAGTTAATAATAACCAAGATATTTCACAATTTTGTAATAATTTAGGTATCAACACACCTGAGAAATCGACAAGCGAGTTATTTTGACGTACACCTTACCTCTCATTAAAGTAAGCAATAGTGAAATATTTATTTATCATGACATCAAGATTAATTTTACGTTAAAATATTTATTTAATTGGAGATGTTGATACTCAAATTATCGGTAATAAATTACCATCAAAATTACAAGTGCTAAAAGTTTTTTTTATCATATACGTATCCTCAAATTAAAATTAAGTGAAAGTGCTGAAATCTGCATCGATAAAGTTAGAGTATTTTGGCAAAAAGCTCAGATTCCAACTAAAAGAAAAGATCATTGCATATATCAGTTGTTAAAATTATATGAACAATATCAGCTTCTTCAAAAAAGTGTAAACAGAGAGTCAAATAAAATTAAAGAGGATGAATTTAAATCTTTATTGTTGAATTTATTTGACATTGCCCATGCGAATGCTACACTAATAATCAATAAAGATACACAAAATTTTCTGACTCAACAAAGGAAAGATGGTAGAGTAGGCTACATAGCCAACATTGAGTCTGACGATAATGAAGAAGCACAGAGAATCAAGGATGAATTACTACAGCTACGTCAAGAAAAATCGGAGAGAATTGGTAAAATTGATTTTAAAATACTTTATAAAGTTTAATCTAATAATTAAGTATATGATTGCATGTTAATTAAATAACAAATTGTAATTTTTGTTTATTAAATAGATAAATTCATGGAATTTACATCAAGCAGTGAAGGCGAAGGAGTAGATAAGTTGGGTCAAAAAACAATATCATCAGTTACGAATTTTTCTAATGAACTATTACACACCAAGAATCAACACAATCACGTGGAACTATAAATATCATAGATGATAAATTAGTTGCAGTCTTCGATCATTGTAAATTAAGTGACCCCAATGCTGTACTTTTGACTGTAGCTTTATGTTCATCAATAAATATCGACGCAAACCCTTTAATAGTAAATAGATCTTCAATTCGCAGAATCAGAGAGAAATTACGCGAAGAAAAAGTAAAACAAATCAAAGGACTTTTCAAATACGAAGACTTGAATGCTAGTGTTCTCCATTGGGATGGAAATTTTTTTAAAACTTCAACTGGAGAAACTAAAGAACGATTACCAGTTGTATTAATTTGTGTAAAAATTGAAAAAATATTAGCAATTCCAGTACTAGATGACGGTACAGGACAGTCTCAAGCTGATGCAATGTTTGATGTTATTGTCGATTGGGGTATTTCTAACTGTATTAAAGTTCTTTGCTGTGATACTACTCCTGCCAATCTGGGGCCAAATAAAGGAGCTGCCGTCATACTTGAACAGTTGCTTGAAGAAAATTTACTATATTTGCCTTGCAGGCATCACATGTTTGAACTTGTTTTAAAGGATGTTTTTGAATTAAAAATACCTGGAACTGGAAAAAAGATTTCGAGATAATTGGACAAAATTCAATATAAGTCAATATTCTACTGGCATTGAAGACTCTTATGTGAAAAAGAAATTACACAGCCACATTGAAGATATCAATCAATTCATACAAAAGCAACTTGATTCTAAACAACCCAGAGAAGACTACAAAGAATTTTTGGAACTTGTTCAGATATTTATTGGTAAAATTCCTCGCAGTGAAGTCAAATTTAGAAAACCAGGTGCATTCCATCACGCTAGGTGGATGTCAAAGGCAATATATAGTATAAAAATATTTTTATTTAAAGAACAATTCGAAATGAAAGCAAAATTGAAAAAATCAATTTCAGAAATTTGCATTTTCAGTGTAATTTTGTATATTAAAGCGTGGTTTACTTGTCCTCTGGTATCTGAAGCTTCAAACAATGATTTAATATTTTTAAAAGAACTTATTGATTATAAATTGACATATGCTGAAGTATCTCAAGTAGCGTTAAAAAAATTTAGCAAGCACTTGTGGTATTTAAACCCAGAAACTGCAGCTATGGCGTTCTTTGATGAAAAAGTATCACTAAAGCAGATGGTGATTATGTTGAAAAGTATTGAGAAAGGTTCAGAAAAATTGAAACGTTTCGAAATTAAAAATATAAGAGACATATATAACTGGAACATTGCTTCGTTTATATCGTCAAGGTCACTCCAGTTTTTCAAATGATTTGGAATAAATACAGATTTTTTTAGTCTAAATTCATCTAAATGGTTTAGAAATGAAGATTTCCAAAAGGGTTTGCTATTGGTAAGAAGTTTAATAGTAGTTAATGACATAGCCGAGCGTGCAGTTAAACTAATTGAAGATTACCATAGTATACTAAGCAAGAATCCAGAGCAGCAACAATTTATTGTTCAATTTTTATCAGAATACAAGCAATATTATGCTGATGCTCGGAAAACTTCAATCGTTCAGAATATGAACATTGATTAAGATTAAGTATTAAATGATATCGTATTTCATCTGTACTTTTATTTTAAAATCTTATTAATTAAGAAACTATCTGTTTTTTTAACTGACAAAACACGTATTATTTGATAACAATTTCAAGAAAAATAAAAATTAAAAAAATACAATAAAAATGTAATATATTTTGTCTACTCCTAATACGGAATTTGACCTTTCTAATATCACTTTTATCTATGGAATGACACATATTCCGTAAAGTGTTAAGCCTGAATTATAGATTGCCTTCCTTCCTTCCTCCCGTAATCGTGCCCGTACGATTTGTGCGTCTTGTAAAAAGTCAATTTATAGATTTCCGTGTAAAATTTCATAACCATGCGCGATGACACCTAAAATGGTTGACATTTGTTATTCTGCACAGAATACCCATTGCACAGAAGCGAAAATGTAAATTTTTGCGGTCGAAACTAAAAATATCCAAATCAATAATTTTCTTCCAAAATTTATTGCAGCTAGTTAGTAAGGCATCTAGATATGTCAAATGAATATTATAATGCGTCAAATCCAAATGACATTACGCTGTCAATAATTTCAATTGAACAATTTCACATTGTATTGTTTATATATTTTTTGCTATAATCACGAACTTTAAATATTATTCAGTTATTGGTTTTATTTTTTTGAAGTGTGAGGCATGAATATCATATCTGGAGGTAAGTAATATTAATTTATATAAGAAAATTACGTAAATTTTGATTTCTTTGAATCCATAAAGTGACTTCATTAAAGGCTTATTTTTTTATTATTATTACGTAATACAGTGAAGGATTTGGTTGCTGATCGAAAGCGATCGAGTGAAGTTATTTTTATAAATTATTGCCTACATTAGTCGTTTATTAGTCGCAATTAAAAAATCTTGCGGAAGGTTGCAGTTTTACTCAAAAAATATTCTTTTTTAAAAGACTTTAGTTCAAAAGTCAAATTATTATATACCTCCATTGGAGATCCTCCAATACCAATAATAATGACATTTTATATATGTCAGTTGACCCTAACCTAAAAATGATGTTACAAAGTTCGTGGAGCTGTATCCGTGGTACCCTATGCCAATCACAGTCCACAAGATTTTAATGCATAGCTCTAAAATTTTAGCCGAACCAATACTTCCAATAGGTCAATTGGGGGAAGAAGCTCAAGAAGCTAGAAATAAGGATATAAAGAGGTACCGTAAAAGTCATGCTAGAAAATTTTCAAGAATTCAAAATTTAGAAGATGTCTTTAATGGGCTTTTAGTATCTTCAGATCCATATATTTCGAGCTTAAGAAAGTTACAACAAAAAAAACGATGAAGATGTCCTTAAGCTTTTTGATGAACCTACAATTTATAAAAAATCTGCCAGTTCAGATGAAAATATTCAAGAAAAGATTACAGAGTGATTAAGCTCTGTATTCCTTTTACATATATTAAATGTTATAACTTAATTTTAATCAATTACTTTTTATTAAAATTTCACCTGCTGTTTCTGGAAATACATTTCAGTAATTATTTTATTCTTCTTAATTCGGTCTTAAGCGCTTTATATACGTCATCTGATTTGAAAAAGTCATAGATACGTTATTTCAAATTCGAGTATTTTTTTGCAAAATAAGTGCCTAAAAATGTTTACATCATTTTATCGTTTGTAAATCAACTCAAAAAAATTAATTATAAAATAATGTAATTACATTTATTATTAATAAACTTGTCATGTTCAATGACTATAGTCATATCTTATATGTATGATAAAAAGCATGGGGCGCTCTTTGGTTGCGTTTCTTTTAGTTAATTTCGACAACGCGCATTACGCTTTTTAGCATAGTCATTGAACATTAAGAAGTGACAAGTTTGTTAATCGCTCAAAATATTTTAAGTACATATATAATTACAATACTTTATAGTTTTTTAACTTTTTCAACAATTATTTATTTTTTAGTCTTAAAATTTAGTCTAGTAACTTGGTTTGTTAGTTACATCCGCCATATTGAAATTAGAATGACGTCACGTACGTAACGTAGAATACGTATTCTGCTTAAAAACCCCTTTCATTTGATACCCATATCAAAGGGGTTGTAAAGAAAAAAATAATTCACCATCTTGGAGTGGCAGCCATTTTGAATAAATTATAATAAACAGTATTCTAGATTGTTCTGTCACCAGAACAAAAAGTGTTCAAAATTTTAGAACAATCGGTTGGGTGGAAGTAGGTTAAAATCGATTTCATAGATTTGTTTACTAGTTAGTTATATAGTTAAAAGAAGGGAGCTGAGCGTGTAAAAACGATTAAATTTAACTGAAAATTTAAGTTTTTTAGCTTTTATATTTTTTAAAGTAAATCACGTGATTTTAAAATTAAAAAAAGTTTCGACCACACATTTTGGATTTTTCGCTTCTGTGCATTGTGTGTAAATATGAAAGATAAACATAAATTTTAATTGCCCAGGCAGCTTGTTGTATACTGCGCAACTATGGAGAAAGGCAGTGCACTGTCATGACTGCTAAACAATAAATTTTTGGGAAATTAGCATAAACTACATTTTTATAAAAAGCAGTAGGTGTTTAACTGATTTATTTAACTTATAAGATAGTTTACTGCATTTCTTTATTGAATTAAGATACAAAATGTCCAGAAAACGCAGAATTGTTTTGTAGTTACTGCCTTTCTCCATAGTAGGGCAGTATAATGAAAAAAAAAACATCGAACAAGACGTTGGAAGACTCGCCCACTTTACCAAGACCGGAAAACTACGGAGTTTTACAAAGCAACGTTTCTAAAAATGAAAGACATTGATCATAAACAATATCTAAATATCCTATTTAAAAACACAAATTATTTAATAAACTGAACACCTATCTTAAATAATCCTAAACAATCATGTATTTTAAATATTTTGTGCCTACGCGCTGTCACCCTTCGCGCTGTCACCCTACAGCGCACTGTGATTGGTCATCTCAGAGAAGAAAGATAAATCTTAAAAATTTCTACGGGAGGAAGGAATGCCGTCCTTACGGTACGGAAATCTATAAATGGCACTACGATTTAAATAAACATTTTTGACGTAATTGTCACCATTAACATTGCCCGTTATTAATTTTAATAAAACTTAACAATTATTGATACTTTAAAATACTAAAATAATTTCAAAATATGATTTTGTTAAGAAAATATTTTATTCTTTGATTTTTTTTATGACTATAATTGCAAAATATCACAAAGTATTAAAAATTCGTACACGGGAAATGTTAATGGTGACAATTAAGTCAAAAATGTTTATTGGGTTTCGTATTGTTCATCTTCTACGGAAGGAAGGAAGGAAGGCATTCTATAATTCAGGCTTTACAGAATGAAATATTATATCCTCTGATGACAGAATAAACACTCGTGGCGACATCTCTGTTTTTAATATCTAACACATTTTAGACCGATCCAACCTCACTTTCTTCCAATTAAATTATTTTTCTATGGTATTTTTTGGAAACGTAGAAAAAGTAAAGTCTAAAACACGTTTGGAATTGCATATTCCGCTCTCGTGAAACCGTCAAACTCGCCTTCGGCTCGTGTGACAAACTCTTTACTCGAGCGGAATATGCTGTATTCCAAACTTACAGAATATACTATTTTCTACTCCTATTAAGGAATATGACCGTTCTAATACCACCTTTTAATATGTAATTACATACAGAGAACTGCATAAAAAACGGCCATTGCTGCATCGTTATTCCTTATCCGATTTTCAAAATTCAAAAACCAGTTTGAATGGTATGATGTCTTCTATGATTCGAAGGTTAAAAATATTTTTTTTATTATAATGCTAGTGAGCACTGATAGTCAACTTTTATTTTTCAAATGACAACTATATTTTTTTATTATTTTTTCGCATTTCTTATGCTTTTCTGAGCATAACGGTATATTAATATCATAATTTTAATTATAAAACACGAAGAAAAAAAATAAAACTGCGAAATTTTTTACAAATCGCAGTAGCATCAGGACACCCACAAAATACTTCCAATTTAATAATATGCCTATCCATGGTT